GCCTCTCTACCCATTCTAAGGTAGGGGTAAGGTTTGCGTACACTCTACCCTCTCCAGACCCCACTGCTGAAATTTTACTGGGTTGTTGTTGTTTTTTCTTCTCAGAAACAACAAGTGTTAGTCTCAAGAGATTCAGTGGCACGAGAGTGGGAAAAAAAACAGGCAAAACACATTTATCCATGAATTTTTGCAAAATTAGTTATTTTGTTTTTCGCTAAAAGTTTGTTATAGAAATTAGCTTCTTTTTATATACTCCGTTCGTCAATTTTAATTGATTTTTGGTTATTTTCACATATATTAAAGAATCAACATTTAAGCATTATTTAATAATAAAATAGACCATATTAACCTCAATTTTTTTATTAAAAATATAATAAATAGTTCTAGGCTCTTTACTCCAAGAGCAACTTTAAAAGAAAAAAAGTTAATTCTTTCTTAATGTCTGGAAAAATTAAATGTTGTTGACCATACAAAAAGGCCAAAAATTAATTAAAGTGGACCGTATGGAGTATGTATGTATACCTTCATTGAGCTTGAAATATTTTATTTATATAAATTACCGCGTAATTAAGAAAAAAAGGTCCAAAATTCTTCTTGAACTTTACGAAATTGGTCATTCATACCATACTTTTTAAGTTTTTGCCGTTGTCTAAGAAGGAAACCAATTTAACAGGAATAAGAGAAAGCACATTTTTAATGTTGTATGATCTTGTTGGGGCGATTCTTTAAATTCTACTTCTATTAAATTACTGGATTAAAATTTGTTTTTATAAGTAGTTGTATGAACTTCTCTTTTTATTAAAAAAATAAAAAATAGTTCACTAGGCAACAAGGATGAAATTTATATAATGACTTCAAAAAAGGCTAATTGTGCAAATGCACCTTGTAAGCTATTTTGGATCTCTCTAGAAAACATTTGTTTGTCTAAATAGGTAGGGGCAAATACGACATTAGTGAAATGTCTTGATCTACAATCACTTGGATTACCTTTTCTGCCATTTGTGAAATACTCTAAAGTTTTCTTTTTTCACAACTTCTTTTTATAGAGTTGGCCTTGAATAAGGGAAGGGAAATGAAGAAATTAATAATGGTAATTGTTTCAAGCCATAAATTAGTAGTATTTCAGTATTTCAAATAATGAAATTGATATTACAATTTTAATTTTCTTTTTCAGCTTCAAATAGTCTTCTTTTCGGCTTCTAACCAAACAAAACAAAAAAAACTCGAACTAACTACCTTTCCTTAACTTTTTTTTTAAAAAAAAAAAAAAAAAAACAGAAAAGATGAATAGTAACCGTATTAAATATGCAGATATTTTCCCTCTTCACTCCTCAACAACTCTTACGACCAAACTTGAAGGAATAGGCCATATGTTAAGGGTTATTTCAAGTTAATAAAATATTAGTGTATTTGCATTACATTTACCTACATTAGTTGTTAAAAGTTTTATTTACTAATATCAAGATATTGAGTAGTTTAAATCAAAGACCTAAATATCAGACAAAGTTCTATAAAAATTTGAGAAATTGAGATAAAATATTCATAAACTTGGGTCAAAGTGGATTCCTTTTCAAAAGCTAGGAAAGATATTATTTTCCACCCTAACAAAAGACTAAACGGATAAGGTAGAATTTAGTCAAAATATAAAGTTTTTAATGATAGTCTAACCTTAAGAGGGCTCTCAATTCGTTAGAAGTGGGCCAAGACACTTTGGCCCGTCCGTGCTATAATTAATTTTAAGAGTTTTTTACATTCTTGATCCTTATTTAACTATTATTTATAAAAATAGCACCATTTATTGTTTATTCCATAAAGAGCACTTCTTTTTTCATTAATGGCACATTATAAAAATTAAGCTCAACATCTAATAAGTTAACTCACTCACTAATCACGGAAAGTACTTTTTTTTTTGTCCATCTTCATTTTCCCTTTACAGCATTCATCTTCTTCACTCCATATTCTGAAAAGCTGCTGCATATCTCAATGCCACCTAAATCAAGATGTATGGATTTATACATCTTTTATACTTTGTATATCAGGTATCACTTTAATTCAAAATGTATATTTATGTATATATTTTTGTATATTTATTTGTGAAGTGCTATCTTATTTTAAGCGGTATTTTTAATGTATATTATATTTTATATGTCAAGTGTCATTATATATATATATATATATATATATTATTTTTTGTATATTTATATACCATCCTAATTAAATTTAAAATTTAAGATATATATTTTTATGTATATTTCACATGTCTGAGTGTCATCTTTATTGAAGATGTATTTTTTATGTATATGTTTTGTATATTTTATATGTGTTAATTCAAAGTATATTTTTATATATATGTATTGTATATATTAACGTATATTATTATCGAAATAAGAGCTTTATATTAAGAAAGGAAGAAAGAAGTAAGAGAAAAACTTAAGAAAGATAACTAAAGTTAAAATGAATGGAACAAATTTAAAAAATATATTGGCTTCGGTAGAAAACAAAACTAAGAAGAAGAAGAAAAAGAAGGAAAGCTAATAGATAAAGAGAGAGAAAAAGACATGATTTTTGTACAAATAATTATTAACTTTCCATTCAAATTTCTTATGTTTAGGGATTAATAGTTAATATTTTTATTTTAATGGAACTGTGTGCTACAAATATAAATATTTTCCTGCTATATCTGTAATATTGAATTTAATGCTAAAAATTTGTTATATTTCTTTTAAACTGTGACGGTTATGTAAAGTATTTAACGCTATAAGACCTAGTGTTTAGGTTATTCTTGTTTCCTGTAGACGTTATGGAGACACATCAAAATTGCTCTGATGATATAGTAACGGAGATATTAACTTTTCTTCCTGCCAAGTCTCTCATGCACTTTCTCCGCTCGCACTTTGTTCGTTCTCAATCTCGTCCCTCACTTTTATTTAAAAAATATCTAAAAATATTTGGGATATAATATTTAATAGAATATGAAGTGCTTCACATTTATTAACCTTAAATAATGGGTTGTATGATAATTTTCTTTTCAAGTGTTACTAAAATACATCAATCTCTTTGTTCTTTTCATATTCATATGTCAAGATATATTAAATTCTTATATCTTTTTCGAATTTGAAGTGGTTACTATTATTTAGGTATCATATTGACTTTTATGTTTAATTACTAAATTCGATTAACCTTGAAAGTGTACATCAAAGAAAAATTATTGTAAGACGCCTAAAAAAATAACTATCATGTGTTACTAAGAAAAATTTCCCATAAGAATATTTTTATAGATAATGTGTTTGTAATTTTTAAAATTTTTATTAAACATATATTTCCTTATAAAACATTTAACAAAATAAGATTGAAATAATATTTAAGTAACAAAAAATCCGAAAACCCGACAAAACTGAACCAATCCAAACCGATGTAGTTGATTTGGTTTGGTTTTGATAAAAGAGACTTTTCCTTCCTATACCATATATGAAACCTTATTATCAAAAATGTGCATAGTTTCATATTTACCCGCCATGTTCACAATTATTCTATAAAATATATACCATTCATTAAATACCAATTATTAGGATCCCACAGTCATACTCCTAAGTAAATCCTAGTCAGAAGCAAAGCCATTTTTTGGTCGGATATAAAGTCGGGTGAAATAAAAAGGGTATCCAATTTTGAATTGTCTGAAAGATCAAATAGTTATAATTATAAAGGGGAAAGAATTAGAGAGGTATACATATTCCACAAAAAGATGGGAAACATTTTTAACTCAATTTAACCCAAGAATAGAATGATTTAGTTTTACTAAATATAAACAACAAGGTTCCTGTTCGATCAGTAGGTGGTTACACACTTAAAATGCAGTTTTGTCTACAGACCTGCATTCCATCATCTAGGATTGCAACCCCAATTTGGTCACAGTATGGAAGTAAATATTCTTCTAAATATTTTTCACCATTGACAGCCATTAAAAAGCTTGAAAGCTTTGAATTCAAATTTGGGTTTTCAAAAATCATTATTTATTTGGATTGGGTGTTGTTGAAAATAATCGGAAATATGATTTGGAGTTTATATCTCAATTTTGAGGGGTTTTTTTGGTGAAGATTAGACTTGGTTTTGACTGAATTTCATATTGAAACTCGAAGAAGAAGAAGAAGACATATTGCAAAAATTGCAGATAAATTGTAGATTATTTGTATTCTGATTGTAGATGCTTTATTTTCTGTTTCACAAATAAAAAACGGCTAAAACTTCTACAAATCTTCTGAAAAACGCAATTATGTCAAAAATCACAATTATGCTACAATTGAATGGGAATTGGGATATAAAAATTCAATGTACCCAGTTTGTAGATATTTTGTAGATAAATTGTATATTATTTATAGATGTTTTATTTTCTGTTTTCACAAATAAAAAACGACTGAAACTTCTACAAATCTTCTGCAAAAAACGCAATTATGTCAAAAATCCCAATTAAACTACAATTGAATGGGAATTGGGATATAAAAATTCAATGTACCCAGTTTGTAGATATTTTGTAGATAAATTGTAGATTATTTGTATTCTAATTATAGATGTTTTGTTTTTTGTTTTCATAAAAAAAACGACTAAAACTTCTATAAATCTTGTGCAAAAAACACAATTATGTCGAAAATCCCAATTAAACTACAATTGAATGGGAATTGGGATATAAAAATTCAATGTACCCAGTTTGTAGATATTTTGTAGATAAATTGTAGATTATTTGTATTGTGATTGTAGATGTTTTGTTTTCTGTTTTCACAAATCAAAAACGACTAAAACTTCTACAAATCTTTTGCAAACAACGCAATTATATCGAAAATACCAATTAAGCTACAATTTAATGAAAAATTATACCAATGTCAAAAATACCAATTAAGCTACAAGCTACAATCGATTCAATAACTCTATTATATTTTGATATTAGCTCATTTTCAGAGCTCACTAATGGAGATCATGGCTACTGAAAGTTTGCTTGATGCAACTCTTCAGCGTTTTAAGTTTAAGTGGCCTTCCATTGGGAAATCTCCAAAAAATTCTCCTAAAAGTAGCCCTTCTCGTAGCCCTCCACCTAAGCGGCAACAGCCGTCGCCACTACCACCACCTTCTCCACCACCTCCATCACCTTCTACACCACCTCCATAGCCGTCACCTCCACCACCACCGTCGCCGTCACCACCACCGCCTTCTCCACCAGCTGATGATATGGCACCACACTACTAAAAAAACGGCCTATTTCCGACCGAAATATTCCGACGGAAAAAAGTAGTCGTAAATTTCCGACGGAATCGGTCGGAAAATGCATAAAAATATACTTTTTAATTTTTAATAATAGTTACGACTAACCCGTCTATATCAGTCGTAAATTTTGGCGAAAAATTCTGCGTCGCTGTTAGCGACCAATTCGGTTGGAAATAATTAAAAAAAATTAAAAATAGTAATATTAAGTAGCGACCGATTCGGTCGAAATTTTTTAGTAAAACGAGGGTTGACTACTTTGACCAAATTTCCGACCGAATCGGTCGGAAAGTTTTTTTTAAAAGCCCTCCAGTGACCCCATTCTTTTCATTCCCCTCTTTTCTTCCTTCTCTCTTCTCTCTCTCACTCAAACTTCCCCCCACCCAAATCCGCCGCAACCATCAACTAGCAGGACTCGCCGGCGCCGACGCTCAACTGCAGATCCGTCGACGACCCTTCACTGCCAGGTAAGTTTTTCTCACCCTCCTTTGTTATTTTTTAAAACAAATATACTGATTTTGTTTAATTGCTCCTAGTTTCGTTTGTAAAAATTGATTGATATTAGCTAAAGTAAATCTATGACTATTGTTAGTAGTTAAATTAAAGTTATATGTTGGTAATTTAGTGTTATATGTTAAAGTTATATGTTGGTAATTTAGAGTTATATGTTAAAGTTATATGTTGGTAATTTAGAGTCATATATTGCTAAATTAAATTTATATGTTAAAGTTATATGTTGGTAAATTACATACTAATATGGGGATAACATTACTAAGTTGGGAATTATTTAACTAAATAGTTTTGCTAACTAATTTGTAAAGTTGTTACATATATAGCAATTTATCTCATTTAATTATATTGGTAAAGCAAACGATCAAGGAAACTCCTTCCTCTTATATATGCTAAAAATATATTACACAGGTAGTCCTACAAAGCAAAAAAATTCAAAAAAGATAGAAAAAACTTATANAAAGTATGAAGAATGTTTTAAAACTCTTAGTGCTAGTTGACTACTTTTGACAATATGTCTTACTCCTAACTTTTCTAATATCTTTTGACTTTCATGGAATTAAGCTTAATTGAAATCTATTATCAGTTTCATCTATTAAATTATTAAATTGTTGTTGTAGATTAATCGATTTTTGTTTTTGCATAATTGTTATTGTAGATCCCAAATATTTGAATTTATGTGATGTTTATTAATTATATATATGTTAACTTTAATGCAAGTTTTTGCCATCCTTTCATTCTACACATTTGGTTGTGGATTCTGTGAAGCTATTTTATCGTGAACCGTAGAATTCTTGGGGACAGATAACGTACAATATCAGAGAGCAAATGTAAAATCAATTTAGGCTAAAAATTGATTACATTTATTTAAATAATTATCGTTTTCATCTAATGTTACTTTTTTATAATGCAGACAAAGTATACATGGCATCCTCAATATCAAAATGAAATAAATAGTATTTTCGAGGTTTGATTAGCTTTGCGGCTCATAAACTAAGATTGGTAATTACTTATAAAAATTTTCTTGGTTTTACATATAGAATTTTATATTTGTAATATCTAACTCATACTTTTTATTATGAAGGAAAAGGAAAGAGGGCGAGATATGGGTCACGCTGAGGTCTTCGAGGAGACGCATAGGAAAAAGAAGAATGATGGTACAAGTGAACACTGGGTGGAGATGCGTGCATCAGACACATATGTAAAATACTAACTTCATAATTATTTATTATTTATTAATATTAGTTTGTTTACATAATAGTTATATTTTCATTTCAGGAAGATTATCATAAAAGGGTAGACGAATGGCAATAAACTCAGCCTCCTTCAACTCAACCAATACCTGATGATATGGCTTCATTGTGGACAGAGGCAGCAGGTGGAGCAAACAAAGGCAGAATCTACGGACTTGGAGTACGTTGACCTATAGGTCATCCAAACCCACTCTTAGCCAATTCTTCTTATTCTCAAAATCAAGAACATGTGGAAGATANAAAGGAAAGAGGGCGAGATATGGGTCACGCTGAGGTCTTCGAGGAGACGCATAGGAAAAAGAAGAAGGATGGTACAAGAGAACACTGGGTGAAAACGCATGCATAAGACACATATGTAAAATACTAACTTCATACTTATTTATGAATTATTAATATTAGTTTGTTTACATAATAGTTATGTTTTCATTTCAGGAAGATTATCATAAAAGGGTGGACGAATGGCAACAAACTCAGCCTCCTTCAACTCAACCAATACCTCATGATATGGCTTCATTGTGGAAGATATGAGAAAGAAAATTTGTGATTTGACGAAACAATTGGACTCCCAATTCAGAATATTTGTTAAGATGCAAAATTCATGAGAAAACATGGGCATAATCTATTTGATGATGAGGATTAATAAACTGAATCTAATGTGTAGTAGTTTAGTTGTGATGTTTTGGTTAATCGGTAAACTTGATTGTGAGAGACAACTTTATGTTTTTGTTTTTAACATTGAATGTTGGCTACTATTTTGATGTTTTTAAGCCCAAAATAGTTAGTTTTAATAATTGGTATTATTGGTTTAAGTTGTGTTAATGGTTGGTATTATTGGTTTAGATTGTGTTAATGGTTGGCATTGTTGGTGATATTGTATTGTAATAATTTGACAGGTGGTTTAGCTCAAAATTGGGCAGAATTCTGCCCAGTTTTACAGAAAATTCCGACTGATTTCCGACGGAAACAGTCGGACAGCTGCCCAATTTTTTTTAAAATAATTAATATTTAACCGTTTTCGACGGATTCCGTCGAAAATTAAATAAAATTTATTTTTTAATTAATAATTTCCAACCGATTCGGTTGGAAGTTATATATTTTTATTATTTAATTTTAAATAAATAATTATTTTTATTTATATTACTACGACTGATTCGGTCGGTAAATTCCGACCACTTTGGTCGGAAGTTTGAGAATATTTGGTCGTTTGGCCTTTTGAACGTTCCAATAACTTTGGTCGGAAATTACCGACAGATACCAACTATTTTCCGACCGACCAATTTCGGTCGGAAAGTAGTCAGAAATTCGTGATTTCCGACCGATTTTTGACCGTTTTGACGGTCGGAATTCTGCCATTTTCCAGTAGTGCCATCTCCATCACCAGCTGCGACACCAACACCACCAGATATGCTGTTGCGACCCTCAGCTCGTCTCGCTGGAAATATGGTCATTTCTGGCCTTCATTAATTACTTTGGAAAATAATAATAAGAAAGAAAGGAGTAACAACTTTATTAAATGATTGAGAAAGAAAATGTCCATTGTTGAGAATAAAAATCGGATGTGCATTTTCTATCATAAGTCCAAAATTAAGACTTACGAAAATTAAAAGAAAGTACTAATTTGACTACGAATGTGTGAATTGTTCTAGAATTTGAATTTCTAAATATCGTTTTCCTACCTTTGCTTTCCTAATTAATTACAAGAGGAAAATACATAAACAACGAAAGGGAGATAGTCGGACTTGTTAGAGGAATTAATGGATGAAAAGTATACATTGTGTAACATTAAATTAATTATATTCATATAACTCTGACTCATATTCCATGCTAAAAACATACTTTTGAATAATCTTGCGTTCAAATCTCATTGCTATCTTTTATCACAAAAAAATTTACGTGTTTGGCTATTAAAGCAATCATACCAAAGCTACAAGCTAAAATACACTACGGTATAGAATTGGTAATTTGGTATACTAAGTGTAATTAAGTCAAACTTTAAACATTGAGGGTAATAAGGTTCCGTGGCATAGGAATGTAAAAATTCCTTGATAAAAACCGAACCAACCCGGTCCATGTACACCCCTAGTCACCACAAAGGAGATGAAAGCTTTGCCGCCGGAAATAGTAATTAAGAAAACTGCCCACTCATGGTATCAGAGGCGGATTTAGGATTTAAATCATATGGGTTCAATTTTCAAGGTTTTTAACATTGAGCCCATTATATCCTTAAAATTAAGGGTTTATATATATATATACTATTTTTGAAATTTTAATAAATTTTTACATATAAATTTTATTCCGCGTCGAAAGTTATGGGTTCAATTAAACCCGGTTAATCAACCCTACATTCGCCCCTGCATGGTATCCTAAGATATTTAATTTCTGGGGTTTAATCAGGTGACGGGAATGTACAAATTACTTGGTTTTTTTTTATAGTCCATTATTCATTGTGCCCAAAATTGTAACCCTAGGAGTAACAAACTCCTCCTGGAGAATTATCGATCCGTTAAAATATCGCTCATGTAATTTTTTTATGGAATGTATTTTCCTCAATGGTTTTCTTTATTGGACTGATAGGTTCACTTGTGTTGTGTACAATACCATATCCACAATGTGATTTCACAGGGTGGAGTAGCATTCAAACTGCATTGTGGGGAAAATTGGCTATGTGTTGTCATTATCGTAAACGTCGTGATCCTCCAGTTCTTTTGATATACGATGACACTAACAAGATTTTTACTGCTGCTGAGAAGACGACTAGTATTAACGTTCCATCTGTGTTGGTTGGAGGAGAAAAGATTAATTACAAGACAAAGGGAGCATATGTTTTAGCAACAACAAGTGTAGGGGTGTTTATGGTTCGGTTTGGATTGGTTTTTCCCTAAAAAACAAACAAACCAAGTAAGTCGGTTTTTCAAATATTAGAACTAAACCAAACCATTTAAGTCGGTTTTTTCTCGATTCGGTTTATGTCGGGTTTTGTCGGTTTTTCGATTTTTCCGGTTATTTGTCTGTTTTTTCTTAAATAAAAGACATCACTACCAAACACATATTCCGGCGACCATATTTTCAGCGTAACACATATCAAATCAATTGCCATTTGAGAAATCTATTTTTTACCAAGATATATTGATGATAATTGGATCAAATAGTGATGAATAATTTAAGGACTCAATTAAAAATATATTATTTTTAACACGAAATGGATTCTTACACGTAACAAAAGAAAACTACCAATCAAACTAGAATGTAAAGGTAAAGAACTATACTAAAAGTGCAACCTATTAACATTTACCATTAAATTTTTGAAACTTTGTATAAAAATATACATTTATATATAGGTGTAATAATAAATTTGAAATAGCTACTCCTATAGTCGATTTGGTTCGGGTTTTTTCGATTTTTTTTTTCGGATTAAAACCAAAACCAAACCAAATTTGATCGGTTTTTAGAATTCAAAACCAAAACCAAACCAAAAAGTATCGGTTTTTTGGTCGGTTTGGTTTGGTTTTCGGTTTAGTTTGATTTTTCGGGTTTTTATGAACACCCCTGATCAAAGTGTAACTAGTGCCCCTGCTTCTCTGCTTTCCTCCTCAACGCCTTGTTGCTTAAGATTCGCTAGCAATTTTGCCGAGCACAACAGAAGTCCTTTTATCAAGTTTGTTTATGTTAGCAGTTTTATTGAGAACATCTTTCCAGTAACATCTCTACTAGTTTGAATATTAAGTTTTAGTTTCCAGTTTAGTTGTTTTTTCGACCAGTTTTTGTTCTAAATTGGTATATACTCCCATTAAGTTAAATATCTAAATTTATTAGTATAGCAAGTAGGGGTGTACAAAGGAAACTGATAAATCGCACCAAATCGATAATCCAAGTCAAACCGAGAAATTTTTTTGACTATGGTTTGATTTGATTTGGTTTGGTGTTGAGGAAAAAACCCGACCATAATTGTTTTGGTTTGATTTTAACTAAAAAAAGTCAAACTGAAATCAAACCAACCCGACATTACATGTATAGAAGTTTTAAATATATTTAATACATAAAAATATTTATTCTGTGGTAGTTTATAAATATTTCTTAAACTTTTTCATAACTTTATCTTTTAACATATTATTTGAAGATTGGACTTATAATTTTTGAATGCTCCAATAAATTTTATAGTCCATAAATGTTAGTAACTCAAACAAATCCTAAGCCAAAATCAAATCAATATTAATTTTTAAAGGGGGGAGGGGGGCATGAGGCGAGGCGGTTTACCTTCGACGAGGTGAGGCGTAAGCCCTGAGACATGGGGCGTAAGCCCCACGGATCTATAAATTTTACTAATTTCAAGAATTTTAATATAGTATAAAATAAAAAATAATTATATAAATTCCATTAAAATCACAAAATTATGACAAAATAATCTATTTAAAATATTCATAAATTATATGAATAATAAAGTATGACATATATCATAATATGCAAATTAACTGCAACATCGTTACAACTCAAACATCAAAAGTAATGTATCCGATGCGAAATCTTATATGTATCTCTTAAGGAGTAATGAACCTTGAAAGAATTTCGATATTATAGTTTAATATTTTTTTTAAAATAATCCTTTTATTTAATATGCTTTCTATTTGAAGGAGAATTTATATAAAACTATAATTCACAATTTAAATATGATTCTCTAACTGTATTGAAAAAAATTATATTTATATATAAAGGTGACTGATCACGCCCAACTATGCCGTATAAAAGGACAATGCGGTCGCTGCAAATATAATCCGGTTTACAAGTCCGGAGTCGAATCCCACAGAGAGTTAACCTATCAACTGCTACCTTCAGACCCACCAAGTCTTCAGAACCAGCTTCTCAAATATTCAAATTCTCAGTTGAGTGTTCTTTAATAACTAGCTTGCAAGTAACTAAAAGGCTATAACTAATTTAATAAGGTTGTAAACAATTATGAGGAAAAGCTAAGGCAATGATTTCCCCTATTGATGGAATCCCTTCTGTTTATGCTCATACAAATTTACCCACACATCTCTATCAATCATGAACGCTAATCTTACCGCAAATCTCTCCCGAGTAATCACAGTAATCTACTATTGCACTCTCCCGAGATACACTAACTTGCTTTATTTAATCACAATTCACTTTAGATTGCACCCAAGGCTTCATTATTCCTAATTCCGCCTTTAAACCCGCAATTATAGATTCCTCTAATAATCTAGGTGTGGTGTTGTTCAACAATATCCTAAATATGCACTCTTTTCCAAGTTATGCACACTAAATAGGTACAGCTAATTGAGGATCCTTTCAATTAACTACAACGAACACGAAGTTGAACAAATAAAGATTAAACTTGCAATTTGTATTCACATAAACAAGAAGTTCATCACCCAATAGGTTCCATCAAAGCCTTAGACAAGGAATTTAGCTACTCATAGATATGGGAGAATAACCTACGCTTGAATTCATCATAAAAATCAAAAGAAAGGAAGAAAGATGTTTAGAGTACTTGCTCACAATTGTTTTCCTTGCTAAGAAACCTAAAAAATCAATACCTGCCTCTCTTGGGCGAAGTGTAGCATTTTAAATAGGGTTTAGGTCTAAAAATCCCGTGTTTTACACTTAAGTCCCCGAAGTTCACTGTGCCCACCGCGGTTCTACCGCGGTCGCGGTAGAACCGCGGTCAAACGCCCTCGCCGAATCTTCAACCTTCAGAGACTGCCTTCCACCGCGGTTTCACCGCGGTCGCGGTAGAACCGCGGTGGAACTTGTACCCGGGCATTTTGGCCTGTTTTGAATGGGTTACTTGGGAAATTCAACAATTAGCCTCTTTTCATCAATAGTTGACTCCAAAACCGCTCCTTAGCCTTCCTTACACCTATATCACCTGCAAATCATGTAAAGCACTAATAAGAGCATTTTGTTGTCATTTTTCACATTAAAAGTTCACAAGAAGGTGATTATTTGGTGCGTGATTATAGTCAAATTCACCTATTATCAGTGACGTGTCAAGACACGTGGATTTGTCAAATGGTCAAAGAATCACAATTAGCCACGAGTCAGGAGTTACAACAGATACGAGCAAAGAAAGAGGAAGAGGCACGGGACATCAGACAAGTAACACGGCGCCCGTACCTATTTAAGTCATTTATATCCTAGAATCAGAAGGAATGAATCTGACAGCATACGAGGGTCCAAATACAATATTTGATAAGCATTAAATGCTGAAAACGTTAGAGAATCTGTCTTAAATGTAATGATTATGTAACGTAGCATTCAATGTCATTTATTGCCCATAATAACCTTATTATGACCAAAGCAAGGCACTTACATTTGAGATAGCTATAAAAGGAGAAGACTGAACAATTGTATGAACATGGAAAAATCATCTGAATACACTTTGGTTTACTTGCTTTATTCAATTATATTCTGGCTATTCAAATTACTCTCT